ATCGCTGATGGGCTTGGCCTTGGCCAGCATCAAGTCTGTCTTGGAGTCGGCTGGCTTTGGCTCCATCGGACATGGGGGAAGCTTCTCACAGATGCCTCCCCTGTGGCACCACCCCACTCCCAGCACCTAAACCCAATACAAAGATGACCTATGAGCTGGGGTGAGGTCCCTGAGGAAGAACGGTGCATGGACATAGGTGGTAGTGGTATGCCGTAGGTGGGGTGACCTGGTGGGTGCCCGAGTCACTGCTAGGCTCAGGCTAAGGGGGTCCATCACACAGGGCTGGTGCATGCAGCGGGGGTCCCAGGGCCCCCAAAACCTGCTGCGTTTCAGTTTCCTCACCTTCTCCATCGTTGCAGCTGCTCACTGCAGTGTTTCTCCCCATCTCCCCAGGCTTGGCATAGCTTTCGCTTATTACGGCGTCATCTTGGCCAGCGCTGAGTTACTGGAGCGGGACCTTGTCTGTGGCTCCACGGCACCACCAATGCAGGACTCTGGCGCTGACTCTGAGGAGAGCCGCAGCCCTTGCCACTGCCGCTTGTTTGGGCCTGCCGCCTACCAGACCATGATCATCAGCACAGTCGGAGAGATCGCATGTAACCTCCTCTCCTCTCCCTGCCCTGCCATTGCCTTCTTACAGCCAGCCAATACTCGCTGCAAAGATTTTTAGCTGTGCATGCACTTAGCGATGTGCCAGGGATCAAAATGTCCTCAGCATTGCTGGCAACTGCCAGGCATAGGCTCTTCAAATGAAGGACTAGGACACAGGCCTTGAGATGGTAGCAAGGGGCAAGGGAGGGCATTGCTCCCCAGGTGAATAATTCAGCTTTTGATGACAGCACGGGTCCTGCTGACAGCAGAGCCAAAGACCTCCTTTGCAGTTAGTACTTACCAACAGCCTTGGTTAAATTTCAGGGGAAATGGCTCCTAACTTACCAGAACTGAGCCCGGCTTCCCAAATACCCAGACATGTCATTTTTAGAAAGTCATAAATGAGCAAGGATTGCAAATAGTCAGATTGATGTAATTGAATGCATCACACAAGTGCCCTACTTTCCAAGATCTAGTGGCCTCAGGAGCAAGTCCCCTGCTGAGCACTACAGTAAAGGACAGCTAAGCGCCCAGGGAATCTGCAGCAAACCAAAATGCATCCTCGTGCAGCCTGCCTGGGAGCGCTAGGGGACAGGACGGCCCAAAGGCACCCACATTGCACCCTTGAAAAAAACTTGGCACTGTGTGTGGGTCTAGTATTGCAACACGCCTGGGAGATGACTATTTTCCCTGGTTCACATCTCAGCAACTAAGCTACAAAATGAGTGGGTGTTGGATCCTGCAGGTGCAGCCAGGCTGGGACCAGTCCAGTGATGAACTCAGGTGGCTGCCTGGCTCCTGGGGGGACTCAATGGGGCACACTCGGCCTGGGCTGTGACCAGAGGAAGCAAAACCAGCCAGGCCTGCGGTGCTCACCCAGGGGGTGCCTACCTTGCATGGCTCAGGACAAGCATTGGTGCCCTGACTTAGTACAGCAGGCACTTTCAGAGAAGGGCAGGCTCCATCCTCTGAGGGGAAGGACAAACAAAAAAAAGGGGCAGAGGAGGAAATTACAGGGTTTAGGTACAGGAAGATAATTGCATTTGTGCATTTTATAGAATGGTAGGCACTAGGGATGCAGAAGGGTATTTTTGAGGCACACTACCTAAGTTCTATCAAGACAGACATCATTGCAGTTAGGTCACCTAACATTCTATGGTTTTCCTTTTTATCTCCAGTAAATCCTTTGAACATTCTTGGCATCAATTTCCTTGGAAGACGATTAAGCCTGTGTATCACCATGGGATGTACAGCCCTATTTTTTCTTCTCCTTAATATCTGCACCTTGAGGTAATCTGGTCTTGTTGGGAGGGTGCAATGCTGAGAGCAGAGGGCAGTACCTATGGTATCCTCAGGTCACCAGTCAATCAGGCCAGTAATTCTTGTGCATCTGAGAAAAACCTTTTGACTGGTTCCTCTTGCTGGGAAAGCTGCAGCAGGAGATGCTGTGGTGCAGCGATGTGCAGAGGGGCTCACTTGTATTGCTGAGGCCACATGGCTTTCCCCTAAGCATACAATGAGCTGCTTTCTAGCACAGCCTAGAAAATTAAAAATTATGTGAACAACATGCACCAGAAAGAAGTCATATTTTTTCATTTGCCTTTTTCCCCCCTTTCTTTTTTGACAATGCTACATGTCTCCTCTAACTTGTAGAGTTGGGCACTCCAAGAGTAGCTCAAGGCATCCAGAGAAAGACTGCCATGACTGCTGTAATTATCAAGTTGATTTGTGAGGATGTGTGAAAAAGGTCCTTCTCAAGCTGGCAGAGCTTAACCATTACTGAAAATCAGGATGGCTTCAAGTTGAAGTTTCCTCTAAACTGTGCAGTAGCCTGACAGCTGCTCACCAGCTGTGCACACCCCTGGCTGAAATACTTGGGAGCTAGAACAGGAGGTTGCAAATAGTTGTTAGGCTAAATAAGCCCCTGTCAGGAAGCTTGCAGTCATTCAGTAGGGCATTGGCCTCTGTACTGCTATTATTATTTTCAGTATTTTCTGAAACTGAGCCTGGCCACCATATTCGCTTGCAACAGTTCTTTACAGGAACTGGAAAGCCAGGGCTAGGCTGGAAGTCAGACTTGACCGTAATGCTGAAGGCACCAGCCTTACTTCAGGCCACTACAGTCCTGTTCAGATCATTCCCTCCAGCCTCGAACACTGGCCTACAGGAAACCTAATGTGCAATAGGCTGTTGTCAAACATGCCTTGTCAGTAGACTAAAGAAAGATTATACTTGTCAACAATCAACTTCTATACTTTCCCTTACATTAAGCTGGCAAAAGCCTTAGCACAGTGCATATATTAGGTTGCATCTCTGCTGATCACCCTTCAGTGATACTAACTCTTTGCTCCACATGGCTTTCTCTAGCACAGGCATGGTTGGGTTTCTCTTCATGCTGCATGCGTTGGTTTCAGCAAACTTCAACACCATCTACATTTACACAGCAGAGGTGGGTCCTCCTGAAAGTACGTTAAGCTACTCTGGGGCATGAAAGACCATTTGCCTATGCCCAGGAATGCTGCCATATTTATTGACTAGAGTCACCTTCCTTGAACTTAGTGTCTCTGGCCTTCCTGGCCACACCATTTTCATATGCAAGATCAGAGAAGGAATCAGAAAACTAGCTGGAGAGGGCAAGAGCAGGTGGAAGAGGAATGCCCTACTGAGCCTCCTGTTAGTCTGCTACTACGAAACGTTATTTTTGGGGATGTTGTGCACCATCATCTTCCAAAACCCACAATCTTTCCCCTCCCCAACCCCTACAAAGTTAAAAAATAGGCTACCACTGAAAGCAACCTTTTCCAGCATGTGAGGTTATATATATGATTTTTTTTTTTTTTTTCACTCAATGGAAATTGCTGTGTTCTGTCCACAAATAGTTTTAATCCTTCAGAGAGCTTGTCCTTCATACAACTTCGGAACCATGAGTTCTGTAGGTTAAGTATGCATTGTCGGGGCTTTTTGTTGTTCTTTTTTAAAAAATTGTGTGGACTTAAATATATTGCCTTGCAGGTTGAGTAAAGTGATAAAAAGCAAACAGAAGTAGCTACCTGCATTTGCCTAATACTTCCTTTAATAATACACTATATTAATTTAAGCATGCACCAGGTTTGAATAAATATCAGCGTTTTAATAGTCCTGAACTGGATGCTGTTGATGTAAAGACCATTGCTGCAATGGCCATATCATAAATCAACACTACTCACCATTTAATCAATGATCAAAACCAAACTTGGAAATGCCCTTTCCGGCCACCTGCCTGGACTCCTCTTGAATTACCTCACCTACATTGGCTTGGCCTAGTAAAGTATTTAAACAAAGGTTTATATAAGTGGACTTGCTAAAATCTATTGATATTAACAGGACTTAACTAAAGTTAAGCAAAAAACATGCTTAAGTGTGTTTTGACACAGGTATTTGGGAGATGTGAAAAAGAAAATACACAAAGCACGTTCTTCTAAGCCTGGAGGTTTCTTATTGGGATCCGTTTTTCCTCCTTCTAAACAAAAATGCTGTTGATACAAGTAAATAGGCAGTCTTGAAGGCTGCAGACAGTATCCTTTCTTCTTGCTTTCCAGATACAGGGCCTGGCAATATAAATTGAATTCTTCCTTTAGCACCCAGCCTATCCTCTGTGACTTTGCTGTGAGCTGCCCAGGACAGCTGGGAGAAAGGTGGTGGTAGTGGTGGTAAGGAAAGAGCAGGGAAGTCACATCCAGCTCTGACTGACTTGTCCTAAAACTTTATTTGGGGCAAAAAACTGGCAGATTTGTAATAGCACAAATGAGACCCAAAGGAGCCTTTCTTTCTTTTCATATCTTACCCCACTAGCTGCCCTTGCTAATGTAAATGGGTGTCACTGAAGAAAAATTAAAAATATTAAAAATAAATAAAAAGGAAAAATAAGGACACATATCACAGATCCTTGTCTCACTAATCCAGTTTCTTTCTGACCTGTTTTAGGTTTACCCTACCACAATGCGAGCCCTGGGGATGGGAACAAGTGGGTCAGTGTGCCGTGTTGGAGCTATGGTGGCCCCATTTATATCACAAGTAAGAGCACACTTGCTAACGTTGGTAAACATTATGCCGATCATTGCTATCAAATATACAGAAAAATGTCCCTGAAGTTCACAAAAAAAAAAAGGGGGCAAGAGGTAATCAATTCCTCCCTCCCAACTCTGTATACAGAGCACTTATGCAGTCTTTGCTAGATGTAGCTCTGCATATATCTCATCCCAGAGCTTAGCTTGCTAGTATTTGTTACTTTCTGAAAGCTCTTAAGATTCACAAGACAATCGCTTTTCTATCGTCGAGCCTCTCAGGTGTTTGTGACCCTTTGTCTGCTCTTTAATTCCTAATGAACTGCCAGCCCCCCACACCACTGAGCTGATGTTTGAACTGTTCTATTGCCTGCAGGTTCTTATGAGTGCTTCTTTCATGGGGGCCCTGTGTCTTTTCTCATCTGTGTGCATTGTCTGTGCAATCTCTGCGTTCACACTGCCCATCGAGACCAAGGGCAGGGCACTGCGGGTTTGTATTACCACTCCAGGAGCTCCTGTTCATCTAATGCTATTTAGAAACTAGTAGATTATGATTCAACCAGAATCCAACCCAAACTCTCCTGAGGGTTCATAAACCAAAACAAGGCCTGACCGGATAGCACAGGAACACGCTGCTGCAGCAGCTTTAAGCACTGTCACTCCAGTTGCCTAAAGCTCATTTCTCAAAAGAACAAACCAGAACACCTGCCCTAGCCCTGGTAACTCATGCAAGTGTGTTGGCTTCAGCTAGTGCAAGCCCCTCTTTGCTAGTATCTCCAGTCCTGAGTTGAAGTTGCTGTTTCCCAGGCACATATTCTGATCTGCTTGTGCTGCAGGGAGAAAGGACAGCAGATGCATCTAACATCTTGAACTACCAAAGCCATTTCTTTATCAAATTCAAGTCAAAAGCTGCAACTGCATCAGTCCCTTAGCTAAGCCCTTGTGGCTAGTGTTTCCCATAAAGCTATCAGCCAAAACACTAGGCACAAAGATTAAGGGGGAAAGTTTAAATTCAGAGAGCCTCCCACGCACAAGTTGCACTAGTTTAATTAAAGGAGATGGTGAGCAGTTCTGTGATTCTAGTTGATTCAGCTACATCAGCATGGAAATTTTCACATCATGCATGCAGCATGCAACATTGCCTGTTATTCTGCAGTCTTACCTGCATAAAGCAGAAGACCATGGGCTAAATAATCCATGTACTTTAGCAGCCTAGAGCAAGACAGATGACTGATCAAACTGTTTTATGTGGGTTTCAGAACCAGACTTAAAAAATATACACAAACACATATTACATATACATATACACACCTACACACTCCACTTCATTGGGTCACATCTTCTAAGGTTTCTTCAAGGTGCATGGGACAGTTAACCTTAGGGTTTTCAGAAAAGCAACATATTAATCACTGCCTGCTTCTTTAAATGGTTGTCTGTTAGAAATGCTTGTCTTTTATGTTTTTATGCCATTTTGAGTATCTATATGGTATTTCGTAAAAGACTGGGGAAAAAAATAATCAAAGTCTAAGGAAGTGGACAAAGCAACTTATTCTTCCCGTGTGGATGAAATTCAACCCCATGCAGAGAGCCACTTAGGCCTTCAAATGGTTGGATTTACAATAATTACTAAGCAAAACACTTCATTAAAACTGCTTTAGACATAAAAGGAAAGCTTTGATTCAGCTACAGTTAGATGAACTTTGGCTAACAGTGGTCAAGATAAATGGCAGTGTAATGATTCCTTAATAGGATCCCTCCTTTTCCTGGGGACTTAACTCAATAGCATTATTGTCCTCCTTGCTAAAACTAAGAGTTACAAGCTCCAGCTGCTGGCCTTTACATGCACAAGTCAAAAGGATGGAAAAATAAAAATCTGCAGTACTAGTTGTGTACTCAGAGAAGCAACCATTAGATCTTCAATTCAACTTGTTAACTCTTATCTTGTGGTCATTTCAGAGATTACATTTGTGTAGGTAGTCATTCAGGGATCACTGAATCGTGACTGTTGAACGTGTTGTTCAAGGGCCCCACACAGTACAGTCATCCAATCCATTGATGTCAAAGCTCTTTTACCATGGCGGTATTTTATCCTAAAGCTCCAGGCAACAGATGTGTGCCTTAAACCTAGGTCTAAATGAACCAACTAAATAAAAAATATGTAAGTAACTTTCTCTGAAATCTAGGCAGTGACATTTAAAAAGCATATCTACTTGTTTCAGCTTATTAGGACAGCATCAGTCCACTCTCAAAGCAGTCCTGGGGATTGCCAATCAGAGGCAAGACATTTTGGACATATCCAAATGCATATTATTTTCCCCTGTATCCATTTCTGTTGATTTTCATGTGCATTTTATTAATTTTATGTATTTTTTTTCTTTCCCCTTTTCAGCAAGTAAAATGAAAGCGAGTGTTTGATGTCGAATTGGGTAGGAAAGAAAAATAAACCTTTGGAATCTGTCATTTCCTGTGAGCTTCATTTGATGTTGATTGCTTCTCCATACCATTTCCATTATTAAAAATTGCAATTGAGCAGTGTAAGAGCCATGATTTGTATAGACAAATGGCAAATTTCTCAAGGATATTCCCTTTCTTATGATTCAATAAATAGATACTTTCTATCTGCTCGATGAAGCAAGATGAAGACTCTTTACTACTAGTGTTATTAGTAGCTACACTCCACATGCAGAAAGAAAAAAACACACAACAAACCCAGCCACCATTCAGTGGACTGAGGTTGAGACAAAGGGGAGAAAATACATAAAGTAGTCTTTGCCATAGCAGCTTGAAAGAATATAGTACTTTCTTTTAAAAACAAAACAGTATTCCTCAACTATTTGTGCATATACCATCTGCAATAAAGTAGTTAAATTTAACATGTCAAACTTCATTTCGGTGACAATTTCTGAAGATTCTCAGGGTGACGTTCAAGACCAACAAAATGAAAGCTGAGTCAGGTTTTTCCAGTGGATTATTTAAACAGATACATTTTCAAACAGTTTACAGCAGACAGATAAGTAACTGGACTGCAGAAGAGCATCTAGGCTACTCTCCCCAGTATTTTCCATTGGGACAACAACTTGACTGTGAAGCTGTAGAGGTGTCTAACTTCACCTCTAAATGCACTAAGTCTCCTAATGAATCTGTGCTTGCAACTTACGGTCCAGAAAAACACACAGCACCTTCCTCTGGAAGCACTGTTAAACTTGGTGACAAGGTATCTAGGACGTCTAGGCATTGCTAGATCTTTAAGACTTCAAATACTTGCAATGGCAGTGCCTCTGACTTAAGTCTGTGCGCTACTCTAGTGTGCACTGATCACACCTGCTTTGTTAGGATGGTCTCCCTCACCATCCTGTTCTGCTCTGGGATGGTAAAACAGCTCCTGCAAATGACTTTCTTCGGGTAGTAACTAATTTTCCACAAAAGACACAAATGAAAAAATCCCCCCAAACCAAACAGGAAAAAAAAAAAAAAGGAAAAAGGGAAAATAAATAGTTACTCTGGGCAGCTTAAAAAAAAAAAATCAACCAATGGATCATTCAATTTCAAAAGCTATGTCAAAAGCCTGCTGCAAACACAACTGAGTCTTCTTTCGAAGCATCCACTACATGTAAGTGTGCAGTGCCACCCTATGACAAAAGCAGGTGGGTAGTATCTCATCTGGCGAAAGGAAAAAAAAGGGCCTTTTTCCCGAGTGCCTATGTACACAGCACAAGGCACAAGCAGCACTTGTGCACACTCGGATGTCTTCACAATTCCATCTGCAAAATTCTAGCACAATCAGAGCTAAATTATTCCAAAAGATGGCCTGCTCTCCCAAAAACTCAGTTTTCATTTAAGTGACATAAGTGAACAGTATAAACTAATAGCTAGCGCAACCATAGACAAGTACCTCTCCAACTGCAATCTCAGAGGGCAGAAACAACTATCTGTTGCTGTCAGTGCTTCTAGAAAGTAGATAGAACAAAAAAAAAAAAAGGTAATTTGTCCTCACCTTCTGGTGATTTTAACAGGGACAGATGAAGAGCTGAAGAGCAGTATCTTTCTTTTTTCTAAGCCTCTTCAAACTTGTGTACTTCCAAGTGAATAATGATGCTGGTCACATTCTGACAACAACATGTTTAGAAATTTGGAAAAACAACAAGAGCTTGTGGACAGAAAGGATACTTCCCCCTGCCCCAAACATACACAAAGACTGACTGATAGTTGCAAGCAACCATTTTTCCCCTCAAGACTTTGCCATCAACGCTATTAAACAGAGGTACACCAAACCTGAGACACCTGTTAAACAAAATAGTACAGGAATACCATTGTTTCCTGCTGGTGGTGAGAAAAGTGGTGCGAACCAAAGTATTCTGTCCTTTAATTCCTCCATTAAAAACTCTCAAACAAATGCCTTTTTTTTTTTTTTAAAGTTATTTTTAATACACTCTCCCTTACATTTTAAAATTACCAATAACTTCTTTGGGGGCACCTACACTTTCATTGTACCAGTCAGTATTGCAGGACAATAATCTTACACTGTCTGTTTTCATGGCTTGTGTTAAATACAGTACAAAGAAATCAAATTATGGCCAGCCACATGCCTTTGGTAAAATTAAAGGTCTGGTGAGATCACATTTTCTTCAAACTCAGAAAGCCACATGTTGAACCCATGTAATGTTTTAAAGTTCAATTCTATACAAACTTCTTTTCTTCCTCAAAGTTAAACAGCTGTCACCCCACGCAAATGGCAATTTCTGTGCTGCTCCAGAAGTACGATGAAAGTCTAGAACTTCAGAGCACCTCTCCACATGCTTTGATCTCCATTTGACTTGTGTTTCAGACAAGGAGTAGAAAGTCTAGTAAATATTCATAAACCCGCAAGTCAAAGCAGTCGTGATTTTTCCCCTTTTCACAATTAACAGTGATAAATATTCTTAGTTTTTAAAAAACGTTCTGTAGTAACACATGCAGCTCATTTAAGCAATGGACGGTCTTCTCCTTTGAGGCGTTTTTTCCGGGGCTGTACAAAGTCATCATCTGAGTCATCAGTAAGTTCTGCATTATCTTTTTCACTCTGGCAGTTGGGTTGTACAGGGAACTTGCTCTCAGGATAAAGGTTCCTTAGAAGGTCTTCAAAGTACGCTTCAAGTTTCATGCCAGCATCAGCCACTTCTGAATCAGGCTGTTGGGTGAATCAACATCATCAATGCATCGTGAAATACCTTTATACTTAGATCACATTAGGTCTTTAAGGTGCTCTTACAAACTACAACCCCCCCCCCCCCCTCACC